CAGACTGTGGAGTGTCAGGAGTGTGGAATAGAGGGGAAGTCTTGGGCAGTCTTGATCCGCTGGCCACGCTTAATAGAATGATTATCATTTTCTCTCAGTAAATTTAGGCAGCTTGTTTGTAGAGAATGTGTTCAGTCTATTCAGATTATTAATTTCTCTAAGTCTGGAATTGATTGTAACTGAACATCAATGCAGATATTTGCTAGTTATGACTACAAAAAATAGGGAAATGAAGAGGCTATCCTAGTTTGTTCTGTTATTGCAGTATTTCTGCTATGACCAAAACATGTCCAGTTCTCTATTTTTGTAATGATCAGGGTGAAGAGTTTAGGACCGGAGCAGCTGTTATGGAATGCACAGGTAGAATCATTACTGCAAGAAGGTGCGCTCGCTGTATTTGCGGGTGAGAGATGTGTTCAGTTAGTGCTGTTGCTGGGCTTTACTAGATGGGCATTAGGAAGGGACCCTTTGTTTCCTCTCCCATTTGACCTCCTATGTCATCTTAAAATTACAGTTCTCCCATTTAATGCTATGAAGTGCTAGTGTTGGCATCCTGTGCCCATATGGCAGGCAGGTTGGGAAGCTCCTTGTGTTCACTTCTTAGCGTAATTCACAGTGGCAAAGCTAGCTGGGCTTCTGTTGTGCTCTTACGTAACTGCATATGCCTCTACTAGAAGTCTAAGTATTGGCATTTGTTTCATTTGTTGGAAAATATGACTCTGAGATGCCAAAGCAGAGTGAATTTAAAAAAAAAAACACTTTTGTGGAAAAAAGTGCTCTCTATTTACGTATATTTTATTTTTGTACCTTTGTAGCAAGCTTTCCTCCTACAATGACTTCTGTGCAGCTTTAGCAGACTGCTCCAGATGTTACATCGTATTTTTAGCCCTACTAAACAAACACCAGAAGCAGCAGGTCAGTTTTTTTCATCTCTTGATTTTTATATGTTAATCCTCTGATGTGTCTGTGTATTATTGTGTATAAGCTTGTTTTCAGTGACCTACTTTTATGCATTTACCAAATAAAAATTGTAACTGGTTGACAGCATTTCTAAGTAGTAAATAATTGAAATGAAATAATTTAGATTAAAAATTAAAAGCAATACAGAAGACAGATAGGTGATTAATGTGTCTACCCTTTGCATGTGTAGAAGCAGTCCTTTGAGTACTTAATTATATTTCTTACTTTTTAAAAAGTGCTTTCTAAAGCAAATAGTTTATTTTCATATTTAATAGGAGGAAATTGCTGGGATTTCTCCTGCCTTCCTCTCCTGCAAGGAAAGTGTGAATTCTCCAGTTACGCAATTTCAGAGCAGAGAAAGATTTGTTTCTTAATAGCTGTGTAAGGTATCAGAATGTATCTCTCCTTGCCAGAGAAAACCGTATGCCTAGAGTATCACGTTCAGAATATTCACCTGGAAATAAATGTTTAGAGTTTCTCACTATGCCTTGTATTATAAAGTAAAATTATAAGAGTATGCTTGCTACCAGCTTCATTAGAACTTTAAGTGCCCAGTGTTGCTGTAATATCATAGTGATCTTTCCTATGTTTACTGGAGTGCAAGGCTCAGAGAGTTTGGTGCAGGATCATGGTTTTTAGAGATTGTCACACTGGTAAGAGTGGAGTTGCAAATTACTCATCTCTATTGCCGGGTAAGATTTATGAAGAAAATATTTCTGATGTAAAGCATAGATGTTCAAAGGTGGAACAAGGTTTCAGAATAAGAACGTTAAATCACATTAAGATTATACTTGAAAATAAGGAACTTCTTTGGCTGCTCCAGCATCTAAACTAGTTTGAGGACATTTAGTTATGCTGTACAATTTAGCCCATGGTTAGTAATTCCTGGAGAATTGTTGGAACGAGGTCTTTCGTGCTGCTCTTAATGAAGATAACCACAGTGGCTACACTGAACAGTCTGCGTTTTCTTCTGCCAAATACAGAAATAATTTTTCCCTGTCCTGTTTACTTGCATCCTTGTTTTCTGTGATAGTACATGTGGAAAAGAAACAGAGGTTAAGGTGTTTCTATTCATTTAGATGCCTGTTGGTTAACATTCCTACAGCATGTCTAGTATTTCTAGGTTCAGGATGCTGTTGCACCATATAGTCTTCAAAGATGCTTTAGTAAATCGCTACATAAATAATATGAGAAATATCAAAGGCATGATATTTTACTAGATTTATAGGTATTTTCCCTTGAGAGCGCTGTATTAAAACCTCGGCAAATGCTGTGGCTGGGAATAAGGAGCTTAAATTGAGTAACATCTTCCTCTCAATCTTAATTTGTAATTTTAAGAGGAACTTTTCTAGGCTCCTGAGATAATAGCTTTGTCTCATAATGAATTGTAGGCTCATATATAAATTGAAATTGTTTATTGTCAGGTAGTGTTTAGAATGTAGCTTCTTACTTGTCTACTTTACTAAGTGGTCCTAAAAGAGATCTTTCTTCACTGGATTAGTATTGCTTTTTGTGCTAAACTGTCAGTTGTTTTATCAAGGTACAAATTAGTGAAGAAATAGCTTCTATGTAAAAAAAAAACAAACCAACAACTTAGTTATTATGTTATGATTATACATGCAATGTCTTCAGAGTAATTATTTCTTACTGCAAACTTTAAACAATCATGCAACTGTCAGTTGTCAGCTTAGTGAACCCCTGCAGAAACAAGAGGGACATAGATGATGTAATGCACCACTTTTTTTTGTAATTTATAATAAACACTTGAGCTGTGAGGAGTGCAAAAAAATGTTTTTCCTGAGGTGTAGTTGACACTGGTAATCTTTCTTCTAAAATGCTGACAGATAGTGAGTTATAGTGTGAGTTGGTATGTGTTAAAAGAAAACAAGTAACAGCAGTGTGAGTAAAATGGGTAAAATTGCCTGCTGTGGGAAGAAGCAGCAAACAGGAGGATAAATGAGGACTAAGAGCTTATACGTTGAAGTAAATTGTATGTGTTTTCTGAATTTTCAGGTTGCAAAGTTTGTAGGATCAGGTTTTTTTACAGACACTCATGGCAGCTAGAAATATACCAGGGAAAACAATTGAGACTTTATCAAGTGCTTTCATACCGGTGACTTAAAATAAGCATTAAGTATTGTGAAAATAAAAATGTGAGCATTGGAAGTAGGATTAATGACTTGTTCCCGTACCACACACTGAATTCCACAGCTGCCATCCCATATAGTCTCTGTTCTTCTCACCGCACTGCAGTTTCAGCTTTTGTGTTTGTTTTTTTTTTCTTCTCGGCTCATTTTCTCCCTTGATCAAGAGCATCTGAAGGAACGGGAGAGTAGTAACTTAACTCTGTGAGAAAGGCTTTTGGGGAAATTGGATTGGCAAGTCTTGCTAAATTCCACGTGTCATAGTCTTGGGTAAGGAGAGGAGTGCAGAAGGTTGGAAAAGCTGGATCTGCAGGGTGGGACTGGAGAATTCAGCAGTGCTTTTCTTCTGAAGTACATTTCTGTTGGACTTCACTCATGGTTGATTTTGGAACTCACATGTTAACTAGTAACAAAAACATCCTCGGTAGCTGCCACATGCTGTGAAAGCTGCAAGTGTTCTTGCGGAGCCTCTGTAATGCAGGATGAACTTTGCATGCTTCTGTTTCTAGTCGACTTTTGCTTTTTGTCTCCAAAAATCTTTTAACAAGATGATCTTCCCCTTTGCCAGATCGTTACCATCTCTAAGCTTTGCAGATAAACTATATTAAGGGTGACTTTCTCAGACTGTGGTTAATGTCATGAGGAGGCCATGCTTTTGGAAGAGGGAGACGGCCTAAATAGGGCGGTAGGTCCTGTAAGTCAGGCACTACCTGAACTTAAGTGGCCTTTTGGGGCCCTTCCAGCTTCTGTGTAATCTTTTGTCAATGCAGAGTTAGGAGTCTGGTTTCAATCCTTTAGGAGTCTGGTTTCAATCCTTTAGGAGTCTGGTTTCAATCCTAAGTGCACAAACACAGGGTACAATACTAAAATTGAAGAAATCTTGTGCCTGTTATATAGAAAAGCCCCTTTATACTTCAGCCTACTTTTCGATTAGGAAACATTGGTTATGTGTCTGACATCACTGGATGCAGCAATCACCTATTCAGCAAAAGAATTATCACATTAGGTCACAGGTTCATCCAGCCTGCTATCTGTACTTGGCAGTAGTGAAAATCAGATGCACAGAGAACAGTAAAAACAAAGCATATATGATAGTTGCTGTATATACTTACCAAACCTCCAGCTCTTTCCAGTTTGGAAGCTTCCTCAGTCAGCTATGGAAGAGCAACTGATGTCATCTACCTCGACTTGTGCAAGGCATTTGACACTGTCCCACATGTCATCCTTGTCTCTAAGATGAGGAGGCATGGACTTGATGGATGGACCACTCAGTGGATAAGGAACTGGCTAGAGGGTTGCACTCAAAGAGCTGTGCTCGATGTCCATGTGGAGACCGGTGGCAAGTGGAATTCCTCAGGGGTCTGTTCTGGGTCCAGTGCTGTTCAACATCTTTGCCAGCGACACGGACAATGGCATCGAGTGCACCCTCAGCAAGTTTACCAACGACACCAAGCTGTGTGGTGCGATGGACTTACTTGAGGGAAGAGATGCCATCAAGAGGGACCCTGATAGGCTTGAGAAATGGGCCAGTGCAAACTGCATGAGCTTCAACAAGTCAAAATGCAAGGTCCTGCACCTGGGTCGGGCCATTCCCAGGCACAAATACAAACTGGGTACACAATGGGTTGAGAGTAGTCCTGAAGAGAAGGACTTGGGTTTGTTGATAGACGAGAAGCTCAACATGAGCCGGCAGTGCGCTCATGCAGCCCAGAAGGCCAACCACATCCTGGGATGTATCGAGAAGCATAGCCAGCAGGTCAAGAGAGGCAAGAGAGGTGATTCTCCCTGTTTACTCTGCTCTTGTGAGACCCCACCTCGAATACTGTGTCCAGTTCTGGTGTCCTCACCATAAGAGGAATATGGATCTGTTGGAATGAGTTCAGAGGAGGGCTGTAAAGATGGTCCAGGGGCTGGAACACCTCTGGTACAAGGACAGGCTGAGGGAGCTGGGATTGTTCAGCCTGGAGAAGAAGAAGACTCTTGGGGGACCTTATAACTGCCTTTTGATACCTGAAAAGAACCTGCAGGAAGGCTGGAGAGGGACTTTTGTATTTACAAGAGTGTCCACTGATAGGACAAGGGGAAATGGTTTTAAATTGAAGGAGAATAGGTTTAGATTGGAACTTAAGAAGAAATTCTTCAGTACGAGGGTGGCAAGACTCTGGAATAGATTGCCTAGAGAGGTTGTTGTGGATGTCCCCTCCCCGGAGATGTTGGATGAGGCAACGTGGTCTAGTTAAGGGCATCCCTGCCCGTAGCAGGGAGGTTGGATTAGATGATCTCTAAGGTCCCTTCCAACCTAAGACATTGTATGAATCCGTGGTTCTGTGATTCTCTGTGCATGAAGTTGACATCGATTGAATTCTTTTCCATGAAACTCTACATTCTACCTCTACCTCATATGAACTTCTAACATGTTAAACATCCATTTGCAAGGAGTTGACACAGCAGCTACCCACTGCACAAATAATTCCTTTTACTTGTTTTAAATTTGGCCTTTACTAGCTTTATTTTGATACCCTCTAGTTCTTGTATTGAAAAGACAGTAAATATTTAATACCATCAGTCCTTTAACACCACCCCTGACTTTCCAGACCTTTATCATATCCTCTTTGAGTTACCTCTTTTCCAGTTCCCTGCTGAAGAGTCCTTCCTTACTTAAGAGTTCTTCCTTAATTAGTCCTTTCTGATACAGAGGCTCTTCCATACCATTGTGCATCTGTGTTGCTCTTCTCAGAACTCTTTACAGTGCTGATTCCTGTATTTATTTTTTTTTGAGATGAGGAAACCAGAACCTGGCAGTTAACATGT